TTCAAATTTTCTCCGAGAGTTCAATGAGGCATTAGGACTGAAAAACTAAAGTTCTCCAGTTCACTGCTTCTTCAAAACATTCAGCATATATTAGGAGAATCTAACTTTATATATTTGCAGTATGATCTATTGCATTGATGAACATTAAGTCATCGTGTGTGGACACTAAATGATCAATCCATGGAGAGTGCACACTTTGTGGCTCAATCGAAATACGCACCACCATAATTGTTGAGTAGAGAAGTAAGGCCTTGAACACAAAATGATTCTAAAGTTGTGTGTTTGATATAACACTAGATGTCCAAAATATCAGGTTTTTCATTGATAGACATATAGAAGTCGCCACAACTAAAGATGTGACGATCACAGCTTAACAGAGATGACTGAATGAAATGCCATTTATCAGTAAAATAAACACAGGCATCAATCCGTCGAGCAATCATTGAACACCTTAACGGAGCTTTCATTTGAGACATGCTTGGCCTTTATATATTTCGACAGATAGAAGGGCTGCTGGTTGTGGATAAACTATGTTCCGTAATTAAGTGGAGCTAGTAGAATATTTTCCAATGGTCAGCCAAAGAAAGGGTGAATAGGCGATTGCACATTTAGCCACAGGCTACTTGATTTGCAAAAAATAACTACATGATGAATTCATGAACACAAGAACCATAGGTCTGGCTACATTGTTCGGAGTGGGTCTTCGTTTATTTTTGCAGTAGGGATCCTTGGTAGGATCTATATATGACCTGGTGGTTATGTGTTAGGCGTCCATCTTGACCGTAGGTACCAAATGCATCAACAACATACTCTGAGAGCCTATGGAAGCCAAAGATTTCGCCACCAGCTGCAGGAGCTCAAACGGTCTGTCTTCCTCCGTCCCATCAGGTCCGAAAGTACGCCGGTTGCCAACAAAAGCGCTTGAGGGTAAGGATGGCCTGGGTCATCGACGTGTGTGGGAGTGGGACCAGGATGTGTTCCTTGTTAGAGATGCGACTGATCTTTCCAGAAAATCATCCGTTCGGATTTAAGTGATTTCCCATTTATTATCTTTTTGTTTAGCTAATTCCCATTTAATACCTTTTTTCTAGAAGTATTCCAATTTATTATCAAGTGTGACATCCGTTCACAGCCCTCTTCAATTCTATCCATGCGTAGAGTTGAGCCCGCTCCGGCCCAGCCCGTGTGCGGCCTGCAGCCGTACGTGAGGTCAATTTCATCGACCCAGCTATGTCTCCTCCAGGTCATGCCAGCCGCCATGCACAACCAGGTCACGCCGCCGCTTCCCTCAATCGCCTCTGGCTCTGCTTCCGCCATGGCCCCTGCACCGGATGAAGGAGACGTCGGCGTCTCCGTACCAAACGATGTCATCTTCGACATCCTCTCGAGGTTGCCCATCAAGAACGTTTGTCGGTTCCGGTGCCTGTCCAGAGGGTGGGACGCTCTCATCTACGGCCCGGAGTTTCGCCCCCTGCACAAGTCCCGCTCCCAGCCGCTACTCATCACCTGCCACGACCAGCGTGTGCAGATGGTGGACATGGGTGGAAACGTCGTAAGGGAGCTCATGACAGATGGGTTTTCCCGTGTTCTCCCGACCAGCAACGGCCTTGTATTCACGATCAACGACTGGGACAGCGATGCCAAATTGATGGACCTTGCCACGGGGAAGGTGGAGGTCTTCACCTGCCTGCCGGGTACAGCGACGACAAGGTCTACAGTCCTCGTATGTGGTCCCAGTCCCACCACCCTGTCGGGTGCGCACAAGGTGGTTTGCCTCCGATATAAGACTTGTGAAATCCTCACTTTAGAAGATGGCGCAGGGTGGAGGATGACACAGCCACCCCCACTTCCTGTCAACCAGTATTGACGTCCGGTGGTGATTGATGGCGTATTATATGCTCTAGCATCATCCACACAATCAACAGGTGAAAACACAGACATGGTTATCTGCTTTGACCTTGCGAGCAAGGAGTGGAACAAGGTGATCAAAGGCCCCCCGAAGGTGGGTTTTCAAATGGGGTGGTTCGACCAGATAGGCGAGCTCACTGGCACGTTATGCCTGGTTCAATCAGAGAAGTTAAGCATTGGTCATGGATACGCTCACATATGGAGCCTGAACGACTCCGACAAGAGCATCTGGGGCAAAGCATACACTATCCCCATGGCGTTTCTATACAAATATATTCCGATGCCATTGACGGCGATGCGGGATGGCAAGTTGTTGTTTTACTGCTTATGTACTCAAACAACAACAACGAGACTGAAAGTCTATAATCCGCTTGATAGAACATGCATAGATGCAGGTAAGACTCTCGACCACCATGGCGGTATATTTCATTTTTGTAACTTGGATTTGGGGGATTTCATAAGAAATAATGCCATGAATCCTCTTTGTGTATTGTGAACTAGTTGGAGTATTTGAAGGTGTGATAGACAAAGAGTTAGGTAGATAGAAGCAGGCCAGCAACGGCACTCAATATATGTCAGTTACGAATTGGGATTAACTAGAAAGATCATCCTGTCATGCGGCATTGACAAGAGTACACATCTTTTTGCTCTAGCTTAGATCTTGGTTGTAGTTAATTTTACTATTGTCAGCCATGACCTTTTCGTAATAATAACAGAAGAGAACTCTTGAAAGAATACCCACATCTCTAGACAACACAACTAAAATTTCGTCTCGCATAATTTACCTTGTAAACCAGAGAGTGAGAAAGTAAAAGCATGCATGTAAAGAAGCCGCCAACCAGTAGTATTCACTTTCAGTTATGTATATATTTTTCTTCTGCAATGTTCTCATGGGTCTGAAATCTGAGGTTGTGTTTCTCATCTATACTTTGCCTATTTAGGATCCATGGCTGTGTGAAAGATTTGTCTGTTTACAGTTTTTATTAGTTACATACACACGGTGAGTTTGAGGACGTGAAACTTGTCAGGCCACATGTCTAGGCTATCCTTTCATGTTGGTTACCCACTCGCTTGCATGCCCTTTCATGTTGGTGTGATACTCGTTTGTCTCTAGTCAAATCTGGACATTGAAAAAACAAATCAACGATGATGCAATCTACACTAGTGATCCATTCGGCCGACAGGTGTTCCTGCCTTGGTTTGCTAGGGCCACTTCAGATTGATCATCACTCCACGAAAACTTCCAAGACAGGCTACTACTTAGGACTGCCACAAAAAGGCTTGATTCATATATGGACCATTTGACCCAACTTTCCCCTAGTTCCAATTTAAGCCTGCATGTAAAGAAGCCAGGTGTAGTTGTATTGGTACAGAGCGCCCACATCCCTTTTTTTCCTATGTCTCAAGTGGGCCGGCCGATAATCCCTCCGCACTAGTTTTGGGAACCTTCTCCCAACAGTTTGTCTTAGCCTGGTTTCAATTAGTTTTTTTGGGGATTCAGTTTTCTAGGTTTTTCCCTTTTATTTTTTTATCATATTCTTGTACTTTATAATATTATTAACTTATTCAAATTCATGGGCATTACTAAAATTCATGAACTTCTTAAAGTTTGTGAACATTACTACAATTCGGGGACTTTTTCAAATTATATATTTTTTTCAAATTCCGTAAACAATTTAAATTATGAACTTTCTTCCAAATTCTCAAAGATTATTCGAATTCACGAACTATTTTTAAAAAAATTACAAATTATTTAAATTACATGAAGTATGTTCAAATCCATGAAGAATTTTTCAACCTCATGAATAAATTTTCAAATTCATCTTCTTTTAAATCCATGAATTTTTCCTCAATCCATGAACAATTTTTTTCATATTCTCAAAATTTATTTGTAAACCTTATTTCACCTCTAGCATACCCCAACTTATTTGGGACTAAAGGCTTCCTTGTTGTTGTTATTTTTATTATTGTTGTTGTTCTAATGATCAACGGTTTGCGGTCATGAAATCTGAGTGAGCCAGTCAATCTGCAGTTAACGCTTCGCACTACCAAATCTCTTTCTCCAAGCATGAGAGTGTGCCAGTGTGCCAAAGGGACCAAGCGAGTTCGCGAAGCGTACGTGCGCGAGATTTAGCCACGGGCTAGTTGCCTGCGTGCAAGAGCCAACTCGCTAACCGGCGCAGACAGCGCCGATTATGAGGTCTACAACATTCTGAGATATGTTCAACAAATTTCAAGTCTCCTGGGATCTTTTCTTCCACCACAGGGTTTCTAGGCCTGCATGAGAAGCAGTACGTGATACTTGCCTTCTTTTATAGTAAGAGATCATCAAATTTGAGCCCAAGATACTGAATTTAAGCTAGATGGCCAAATCACCAATGGAACGAATATATGTCGCAACATTCAGGATGCAGACAGATGGCTCAAATTAACAGCAGTGCGTACAATGTGCAGTCACAATCATGCGCGTCCTAATTTGTTCATGCAGTAGGATAGGATCGATGGCCTTGGCGATCCATCTTGATGTAGGCACCAAGCAAGTCCATCATAACATAGTTTAGGCGTCCATCTTGATGTAGGTGCCAAGTGCATTCAGGTATGAATCGGAGCGCCCATGGAAGCCGACGATTCTGCCACCCAATGCCGGGAGCTCGAACGGCGCACCCGCCTCCTTCCCATAAGGCCCGTAAGTGCGCCGATTGCTGATGAAAGTGAGCGATTTCACACTCAACCGGTCACTGATATTCCATAAGTGCCCTTTCACACCGATGAGGTACTCGTCCAACTCTAGACAAATCTAGGCATGACAGAAAACAAAAAAAACTGATGAAGCTTCACTGTCCGCGAGTCGTTTGACTTGTTTCATGAAGTATATTCAAGAGGAACGGACTACAAACAAATGTAAAGCATATTATACCTCTGAGCGTTCTCCACAAGGTTCTCCCCACTCCTCGGTATGCTCCTCGCGGCCGTCCCGCTCGTACAGCACCGACATGGCATCGAACGCAAAAAGAATGCGGTGCCAGACAACCACCTTAGTGATACGGTTGACGCCGCGCACGTCCATATCCCAGTCCATGCCGTCACGGCCACCGCAGGGGGCTGTCTTTATAACATAAACCTTGGGTTGCAAGCCGGCTCTGATGGGGCATGCTCCACCTTCTCCTGGTAGAGCATCTTCCCGGCAGTGCACCCGTAGACGGTGTTGCGGCAAGCGACACGAACGGACGACAGAATGCGCTCGACGTCGTGGCAGCGGCTGTAGCTGGTACGGATGAAGCACCGGCTGAAGCCAGCGGTGATGAAGCAGGAGGTACATTTGTTCTTGTCCGCGAGGTTGCCGTGGCAGGTCGAGCAAACCTGATGTCCAGCCGCGCACTGTACAGAACAGATTCAAACAATGGAATCATACGAAGTTGAAATGAAGTGATACATGTCTTGCAAGTTCAATCCACTTCAGCAAAGTAGCCTTGTACCTGGTACACTGGAGGTGTGAGCGGATGGAGCCTCCGGGTCGATGCCGACGTCGATGGAGTGGGTGGCGTCCGACGAGCTCCCGCCGTGCTGCTGCTCCATCTGGCCTCTCGATCTCCTTGACTATGCTGGACTGGGCACTGGAGTGGAGTATAACTATGTCTCTGGAGTAGTACAGTATATAAGGATGTGGTTGTGGAAGATGGAGGAGACGTTAAGCGCTTCAGTCTTCTCCGAACTTGGGTTTGACAAACTTGAGTAATCGCAGGTACTTGTACCGAGGAGGCCGCCGGACGCTGGCAGCTGTGATTATTTGCTTTCATCCTTCTCGAGGAAATCACGTTTACTCTCATGTTTGACCCCCATCGGCACACGCGGAGTAGTACTGAGTTCGTACGACGCACATTGTGCAACTTGTATTGCAACACATAACCATGAAAAAAAATTCCTAGTCAAAACTAAATTACCGGTGCGCTTTTTTCTTGACGGAACAACTTTTTATCTATTTATCAACTGTTGAGGATGTACCAAGAACTACAAAAAAACAGAAATTACATATATATCTGTCAAACCACCTAGCGACAACTCCAAGCATTAGAGCAAGCTGAAGGCACACCGTCGTCTTCGCCCCTCCCTTACTAGAGCCAGACAAATCTTGTTATAGTAGACAATCAATAAGACATTGTGCTAAGGCCCCAGAGAGTCATCGCAGCAATAACCGTCGCCAATGAAAAGTAGCATATATCAAAAGGATCCAATCTATAAACACACACGACCTAAAACCGGATTCAAGTGGATCGACCGAAGAGGAACATCAACCGAATCCCATGAAATCCATTGGAGACACATCTCCACACGCCCTCTAACGACACTAGAGGCACTGCCGAGATGAGGGTTAGACAAAGATAATGTTATTCCATCTTCAGGGACCGTTGTCTCATCGTCTTTCTGAGTAGGACACAACCCTAAACAAACTCAAAAGAACACCTAGAGATGGCGTCATTGCCTCCTCGCCTTCCTCGGTAGGACACAAACCCTACCAAACTCAAAAACACACGTAGCAACGGAGTCTTCACTACCTCATCTTTCTGAATAGGACACAAAACCGTAACCAAACTCAAAAAAACACCTAGAAACTAAGTTGTCGCCACCTCGTCTTCTTCTATAGGACACAAATCCTAACCAAGCTCCAAAAACACCTAGAAACTGAGTCATCGCCTCCTCGTATTACTCTATAGGACACAAACCCTAGAAACGGAGTTGTCGCATCCTCGTCTTCCACGGTACGACACAAACCCTAACCAAACTCAAAAAACACCTAGAAACTGAGTCATTGCCTCCTCGTCTTCCTTAGTAGGACGCAAACCTTTACCCAACTAAAAAAAACACCTAGAAACGGAGCCCTCCCATCGGCAAGGGCTGGGATCCACCGTGTGTACATGGCTTTAAGCCCATAGTAGACGAGGCAGATCGGCGGCGACGGGTGCCGACTGGAGGCAGGGGTACCCCTAACGCATATGCTCTAATACGTCCATTTTGCATCATTTTCTTCTACTATCATTTATAATGTTTTTAATCAATATAACCCTTCGTGGAGCAATTCTAATGCCTTTTCTCTCTTAATTTGCAAGATTTACATGAAGAGGAAGATTGTCGACAGCTGGAATTCTGGACCTGAAAAAACTATGTTAGAGATACCTATTCTGCACATCTCCAAATAAGCTGAAATTTTATGGAAATTATTTTAAAATAAATAAAAAATACTGGAAGAAAGAAATACTAGAGGAGACCACCCAGGTGTGCACAAGTGTGCAATCTATACTATCATATATAGTTGCCTACTTCGCAGGGTTGCTCTCTACAGGTAATTTCCAGAGCAGTAATGTAATGGACTGATGGTGCCACCTTATTTAAGCAGAGCCGCTAAGGTTATTGAAGCTTCATATCTCGGTATCTGATAATCTCCTAGCTTGTTCCAAGCTTGGTGGAGAAATTCTAGCATTTTCCATAGTTGTGCCTATTTTTTCCTTCCTGTAGTTTTATGGCAGCTTTTCCCTCACAAGCGTGCAATCTATACTATCATTCCTTATAAATGACATGACTTGTATACCTTAGAGTGAGGGTTGTTTCTATATTAATGAGAATTGCGTTTACTGTGTTTTGATTTTTTTTTTCTATTCAATATTATTATGGATCTGAAAAATTATACCCTGAAAGGAAAGTCATGACTTGACTAGCAATCATTAAGCATCTATTTGGACTTAGTTAAGAGTTGAGAGAATATAGAGTTAGCTAAAAACCAAAACCAGTCATTACGCTGGTATCTCAGGTTTGTCGGTGTTGCTTCCTTGCATTTTCGCTATTTCACTATGATAGTGTCGAAAAACGTCTTATATTATAATACAAAGGTAGTATATGTAGTTTAGAAGTTCACCACCTGTACCTGAAAGCTTAATTCGGATCTGAACATATTTGGTTAATTTCCAGTACAGCAATCTGAACATATTTCACTTCATTTCAGACAAATTTATACCTGTAGAAAGCCGCACACATTGGGGGGCGGATTGCTAGTTAGAATCACAGGTTGATTACACGAGTCGGCTCTCAGGATTGCAGACTACCAACATCAACCACTGAAACAAGGGAGACAATATTCAGTTCCAGAAACTAGCTAGTAGGTTGACGGTGACGCAGCCTTGTAATCAGCCCGCCAGCTCCAAGCCATCAAGTAATCAGCCAACTGCTCTGCTCGATCACTGCGTCCACACGTCCGCGCTGTATCTGGAGCTGGCCTTCCTGGCGCGCTTCGAGGCCATGGCGCCGCACGCCCCCACCAGTCCGGGTCCGGCCTGCTGCAGAGCGGCGGCCATCTTCGCGCCGGCGTCCACGACGACGTAGTAATCCATCCGTCTCTTTCTTGGAGAAGCCTTCAGCACAAGAGACGAGGAGGAGGAGGAGGAGGCGCTGGTGGTGAAGCTCGTCGACCTCTTCTTGGGCGGCAACAGCGACTCCTGTATCTGGATGGTGGTGGGGAGGCTGCACCCGGCCGCTAGCTGGAGCTGCAAGCCCGTCGTCGTCGTCGTTGGAGATGGAGATGCCGCTACGGCTCTCTTCTTGGGCGGCAACAGCGATGGATCGATGATGGTGCGGAAGCTGCTGTGACCGGCGGCTGGCTGGAGCTGGACGCCCGTCGTCGTCATCGGAGATGGAGATGGAGGTGGCGCTGCCTCAAGAATTCTCTTCTTCGGGTATGGGAAAACAGCTAGCTAGGTACACCATCGGAAGGAAGGAGGCCCGGGAAGGTATATAAAGGCCGGTCAACGCGTACGTATGCTGGTACCGGAGTAGAGTCGGAGACGGTTGACGACAGTTTCGTTCCGGAATCGGACCGGAATTATTTTTTTGGACATATTTCAGTAATTTAAAAAACTAATTTCAAAACTTTTTCAATAAATTAATTTCATTTTTTTTAAATAATTCATTCCAAAAGTTGTTTCATTTCTTTTAAAAAGCATATTTCAATAATTTCAAAAGGCTAATTTCAATTTAATTAGCGGAATTACATTTAAAATAAGCAATTTCACGTATTAGAACTAATCTACATATGAATTTCACAAATCACATTTCACAAATCTGATAACCAGAAGCGTCAATGTGCGAGAGAGCTCCTAAGGTGCTCAGATCGGCCAAATAAAGCAACAACCAGATAGAAGCTGACAGGTCGTTAACTGGTAGCTACTCGGTCGATGCAGGTATAACAATTAATCAGTGAATCAGCCTAGTAACTGGATAAGTCGGTCGATCATTAATCAGTAGATTCAATAGGAAGCTGCTAACATATATCTAGTTTTTTTTATGTATTATACCATACACTCATGCTTCCAGCATGTAATATACCAAAACATGAACATACTGGGGAGGTAAAATTAAAAAGCCTAGCTATTAAGGAGCGGGATGGGGCTGGAAGGGGTCACGGGCCAAAAATTTGGGCTTTGTTTGCCCACCGGCTAATGGGCCAGCATGGATTAATCGGCCTAACACCTGATTAATCAGTCTAACGGGCAAATTAATCAGTGTGCCAAGTTAACACGATGAATACGTGCTATTCGATTTGGCAACGCTGTGAGTAGCGATTAACTGCCTGTTAACTGATTATTCAGGCGAATTCTTAAACTGTGGTTTTCCTTTCGGTTTTTACTGTTTTCATTTTCTTTATGTTTTTTTTGTTTCCATGGATATATTTTTTATCTTTCATTTGCTGTATTTTCTCTTTATTGTGATTTTCATTTTTTCCTGTGTTTCTCATTGTAATTTTCGTCGGTTCTCTTCGGTTTAACTGTATTTTCATATTCTTTTCTTTTTCAATGTGTTTTCTTTAATGGTTTCATCAATTTTATTTTTTTTCTAGTTTTATGTGTATATATTTACGGATTTCGCAAGTTTTCATTTTTTTTCTTTTTTCACCACTGACTATTTTCTAAATACATGTTTTAAATTTTTTATACACCTAAAATAATTATTTTGTACATTTTTGACATTTTCTAAATACATGATTAACATTTTTTTGTCAAATTTATATTTTGATGTATATTGTTTTACATACAGTACACATTTTTTATATACATCTGAAACATTTTTTGGTACACACTGAACACTTTATAAATACATAATTAACATTTTTAATTGTAAATTGATTTTCAAAAAATATTAAAAACATTTTTTGCAAATATATATTTTTATGCCTATTCTCCATGCATATTGTACATTTTTTTAACATGTCACAAGATTATTTGATACATGGTTAACATTTTCAACTAAATGATTCATATTTTTTCAAATGTATGTTTTTATGTCTACTTTGTTCATACACTATGTATACTTTTTGTATACATTATGAACATTGTTTTACACACATTTAACTTTTGTCAAAAACATGATTAAGTTTCTTTTCAAATACATGTTTTTGAAAAACAAGTTGACTACATTTCAAAAAATGTTGCTTATTTTTTACAATACTCTGAAGATTTTTTTTTAAATTTCCCCAATTTTATTGTGTATTTCAGGGGGGCTCGCCGGAGATGCGCCGCAGGGGCCTTGCTGGG